CGTTTGTTGAAATATTTCATCAAATGAATAGTTGGCTTATATTTTATGCAGAAGGAAAAGTCTCCCAAAATCTAAAATGTGAAACACACAAGAAACTGACATTCAATGACCCGGCTACAAAGTGACTGGTGTGAAACGCCTACTTCTAAATCACAACTAAATTACTAAATTATAACTAAAACTATAAAACAGACTCAAAAAACATTGAAACTATCAACAATTCTTGACTTTACAAACAGCTATGTTGTTTTTATAAACGGTTAATTTTAAAAATGCTAACGCTTTGGTTTCTAACAAGGAGCAATAGGGATGTGAAGATTTGATAGTGGTTTGCAGAAAGATGCAATGTGAACAAGTAAAACCTTTCAAAGTGGTGATGTCCAAGGTATTACTACAAAAGACTGTATGATTCCTGTCTCAAATGTAAAAATCTACACCATAACCACTAAGATGGGAATGAAGAAACAAAAAGTAAAATGCTAAAAAACTTCCATAGGAAATCCTGAAATTGGGGTTCTGAGTCTGCTTTACTGGATTCTACATATATTTATTCACAAGAGGACTATATTACTCTAATATATGCTTTACCCAAAGTCTGCTGAGTTAAATGCTCATGGCATCTAATAAATACTTCACAGCAACATCTACACTAGTATTTGACCGAATATCTGGGTACCATAACCTAGCCTAGTTGACACACAAAATTAACCAGCACACCGAGTAAAAAGAGGTGCTTGGTAAATGTCTGTGGAATCTATATATATAAAAAGCCAGCGACCTGAACGCTGTAACAAGAATGACCAGTCACTATGACCCCCACTGCGCCAGTGAACAGGCTGATCATAGGCGGGGCCAGCGGCCAACCTCTCACAGCCCCTTCCCTTTGGCGGGCCCTGCCCGAATGGGCCCCCCACCACTGTGATTGGCCTGCAGCCCCTCCCACTGGCCGGCCGCACCCCCAATCGCCCCTCTTACCCCAATAGGGGGCAGGGCCGTCTGGCCAACCTCCTGCAGCCCCTCCCCCTGGTTGGCCCCGCCCATGATGGCCCCCCCCCACTGCAATCGGCCTGCGGCCCCTCCCCCAAGACAGCTCTGCCCCCATTCGGCCCCCCAACTCCGATCAGTGGCAGGGCTGGCCAGCCAACCACCTGCAGCCCCTCCCTCCAGCTCTCCCTGCCCCCAATGGGCCCCCACCACTGTGATTCTGTCCCCACCCCCAATCAGGCCCCCACCATCCCAATCAGCCTGCAGGCCCTCCCCCCAGCCAGCTCCGCCCCCTGATCAGCCCCCCCCCCCCGCACTCCGATCAGGGCAAGGCCAGTGGCTGCCGCCCACAGCCCCTCCTCCCAGCTGGTCCCACCCCCAATCGGCCCCCCCACCCTAATTGGGAGTGGGGCCCACCAGCCAATCACCCACGGTCCCTCCTCCCGGCCAGCCCGGTCCTGACTGGGCCCCAGTTGGGGGACCAGCCAGCCAACCTACCACCATTTTCTCCTGACAGGCCCAGCCCCAATCCACCCTGATAGGGGCTGGGCCGGCGGGACCCCACCCATGCACAAATTCATGCGCTGGGCCTCTAGTTAACTAATAAAATCTGCTAATCCTATATTTATTTTCTTCCCTTTTCTCCTTCCCTTGTTGGCTTCTCTTTTAATGCCCTTCCCAAAATCTTCCACTTTCTCTCCTTGGTGTGTCTTTCCCTTGTGGTTCCTCCCAGGCTGGGTCCCATCAATGCAGAGATGCACAAGGAGGCAGGTGGACAAAAGCCCCAGGCTGTGGCCATCGGCCACACAGCCTCCTGCTTGGTGGAAAGGAGACTGCTCCCGCTCGGGCACTGGTTTAGGACTCAGAAAAGGTCCCTGGCAGGTACCTCCCCACAAACTGCCCTGCAGAGAAACCATGTCGTACTGACCCCTGCCTGGCTCCATCAGGTAGGACACCACCTTATACTGTGAGTCAAAGAACTCAGGTGGTTCCAAGCCTCTAGAGCCAGAATCCAGGTGTTTCCTCAGCCTCAGGGTGGGGGTAGGGGGCAGCATGACCTCCACAGCAGCTATGCCTTCACCTCTCAGCCAGGCTTCTGACGTGAAGGGCTACAGTGCCCTCCCGCCCACTTCACAGGACTCAATCTTGATCTGCCACCCCCTGAGCCAACAGAAGCAAGCCCAGCAGTCTTCCTTTCCTCCTTCAATAGCGTTTACTGAACACCTTGTCCATGCTGCACTGTGCCAGATGCCGAGGGCCCAGTCTCCCCAGTGGAGCGTCTTGTGTGATGGTGCAGGGCTGTCACACCTGCGTCCTTGCCTGCACGTCACACAGCCCTCTGGGCGAGCTGACACACCATTCACTGATATCTTTGTCCAACCTTCCATTTTATACAGAAGAACGCTGCAGCCAGAGAGGTGAGTCGCCCAGGCAAGACACACCAGGTCTCCAAACAGTAAATTCAACTGAATCCAGTTTCTTTTTAAGTGGCTCAAGGTCGGTCCTTATCTTAGAAGTTGCTGAATACTTCCATCCACTAGAGGGCAGCAGCCAACCCCCATCCATCCAAATCCTCCCACATCCTGGAGAGTCAGCACTTGGGGGATTGCTCTGCTCCCACATTCATAACACTGATACCTTTTACCTTCTCAAAATGAGCCTCGCAAATCAGGCAAAGTAATAAGAAGGTAAGAGGTGAGGGAGTCAAGTACCATAATCCAGAAGAGGCCAAAGATGGCCTTATTAACAACAGATCAGACCCTGGCTGGTTTGGCTCAGTGGATAGAGCATTGGCCCGAGGACTGAAGGGTCCTGGGTTTGATTCTGTTTTGGTTAAGGGCACATACCATGTTTGCAGCCTTGGTGGGAGCACATGCAGGAGGCAACTAGATACACCGATGTTTCTCTTTCTATGTCTCTCCCCCTCCCTTCTACTCTTCCTAAAAAATAGAAAAAAATATCCTTGGGTGAGGATTAACAACAACAATAAAAAAGAACATATCAGGACCAATGATAGAAAAGATTTTGTAACACCTATGCATGTTCATTATCCAATCCACCTGCCAAAACTAATGCCAATGGATAACCACATAATCTCACGTTATGACAAGCTATTGTACAGTAGTGGTATCAGAATTATCCGAGACGTTTCTCTTGTTTTAAGACACAGATCTGAGGACCATGCCCACAGAGATTCTTTTTAACAAGTCTGGAACGGGACCCAGGAACGTGTGATGTCAGAAGATTCTGATATGTAAGAGTTCGGAAGTCATTGCTAGTCACTGGAGTTTCAGAAATGTAAAGTAGTGAGCGTGAGAGACAGACTTGAGCTCAAAGGTAACTTGCACCTATGGGGGCCAGGAGGGGGAGGACAAGGTCATTGGGCATTGAGAACAGCCCCCTGCTTTGTGAAGTGGCAGCTACGCTTGGTCCTTGGAAGGCAGGTGAGTCCCTCACTGAGAGGTCTCTCCCAGGACTTGTAATCTCAGTGGGCTCCAGGCCACAGCAAGGCTGGCAAGGGTGTGGTCCTGGGTTAGATCCGCCTCAGTTTGTGTCTGGCTCTACCAGCTAATGGTTATGTACCCTTACATGTCCTTGACTCCCCCAAGTCTGTCTCTTTCTCTCTGAATTAAACATAATACTTTTCTCACTGTTGTGAGGATTCAAGGAGCACAGCTCTGCAAAGCACTTAGCGCCCAGCGGAGCGCAGTGCCTGAGAGGTACGGGATGTTGTCTGTCTACACACGGAGCACCATTGCTATTAGCCTCTGAGAAAGAAGAGCAGCAGAGTCCGGGCTGCCTGGTCCAAGATACACCTCAGCAACTCCAGCTGGCAGTGCCTGGAGGGCTGTCTCTCCGGCACAGTGGCTCCAGCAGCTGAGAAACACCCCTGTCCTCACAGGCCAGGTCAGGGAAAGCCAGTGAGCCGCCTTTCTGTGTCTCCCACTTTCCAGAACCTGGCAGAGTTTGATGAAGACCTCCATGCTCAATCCCCATGGACCCTGGGAATCCTGGGAGCATGTTCCTCTCTCTCCGCGTCGGATCCTGCTGGGCATCTCCTCCTCCTTGAAGCCACGGCACCTTTATCCTGAGAATCCCAGGAGCCCTCCTTGGTCGAGGTCCTTCACAAACTCTACATTAAATGACAAGTGTCCTTATAAAAAGAGGAGGCGAGACCATGGAAAGCCACATGAAAACAGAGGCAGAGATTGGGGTCATGCTGCCACACACCGAGGAATGTGGTGCCACCAAAAGCTGGAGAGACAAGGAAGAAAGTCTCCCCTAGAGCCCTCAGGTGGTGCCTGGTTCTGTTGACACCTTGATTTTGGACTTCTGGCCTCCAGAACTGTGAGAACATTAATGTCCATCGTTTTAAGTTACCAGGTTTGTGGTAATTTGCTAGGGCAGCCCTAGAGAGCTAATACACTCATCCTTCAGGGCTTGGCTCATCCGTCATCTCCTCCAGGCAGTCCTCCCTGAGTTTCTCCTGCCATTGCACCCCTGTCAGCTTATATCAGACTAGAGGCCCAGTGCGTGTCCCTCGGCCTGGCCTGAGGGGATTGTGCCGAACTGGCTCTCCGACATCCCCTGAGGGGTCCCGGATTGCGAGAGGGCACAGGCGAGGGTGCAGGCCAGAGTGAGGGACCCCACTGGTGCGATTAGGGCCAGGGAGGGACCGTGGGAGGGCTCCAGGGTGTGTCTGGCCCATTTCACCCAGTCCCAAATGGCCAGACCCCAGCAGCAAGCTAACCTACCAGTTGGAGCATCTGCCCCCTGGCGGTCAGTGCATGTCATAGCGACTGGTCAAACAAATGGTTGGACACTTAGCATATTCAGCTTTTATTATATAGGATTCCCTGTTTGACTCCATCTCACTCAATAAACTCCTAAAAGACAGCACATGGGGTTCTGTTCCCAACTGTAATATGGGCACTGCTCCAGGAATGGACCAGGAGCACATCTAAACCCAAGCATTACGATCTCAGCCCCTGTGTGCCTCCTATGGTGTGGACATTATGCCAGGGACTACCAAGCATTACCTCATTGAGCCCCTCAACAAGCCTAGGAGGTAGGAGCCATCATTTCTGTTTTATAGATGCAGAAACAGGAGCAGCAACTTGCCCAAGACCATCCATTAGCAGAATTAGAATTTATATCCAGATTTTTTAAGTCACAGGTCCCAGTAAGCATGAGCATGACATTTTCAAAAGACCAGTAGCCAACTAGAAGAGGGGTATTGGGAAAGAGTGGGGAGAAGGTGGGGTTTTAATTAGCTAGTTTTTTTGTTTGCTTGTTTTTAGATATATTTTTATTGATTTCAGAGAGGAAGGGAGAGGGAGAGATAGAAACATCAATGATGAGAGAGAATCACTGATTGGCTGCTCCCTGTGCTCCCCACACTGGGGATAGAGCCCACAACCTGGGCATGTGCCCTGATCAGGAATCAAACCGAGACCTACTGGTTGGGTCAATGCTCAACCACTGAGCCACGCAGGCCAGGCTTAAGTAGCTAGTTTTGAGACAGAGCCAGTGTGTGTGTGTGTGTGTGTGTGTGTGTGTGTGTGTGTGTGTGTGTAAACGGGAATGAGGGTCATAGGTTAGCAAACTCAAGATTAACTCATCATGCAGCATTAATATATCACAGCAGCTTCAATTCTGAGGCCTGGGAGAAGGGGCCCTGTGATGCAAGGGGAGTAAGAAAGGAGAAGGGAAAGCAGCAGAAAAAAGAAGGAAGAAAACAGTGTATGGGAGGGTTGGGGGGCATAGCTCTGCTAAGTTGGGAAGCAGAACATGTTTTCCTTTTACTCTCCCCCTTCCTCTTGCCCAGGCCTCTGCCCACTTCTGGTGGCCTTGTTGCCAAGGCATCAGAGAGTACACAGGTGCTGTCTGAGCACCTGCTGTGGCATTTAACCAGGTGTGGGAGGCTAAATAATGTCCCCCAAAGACATCCACGGTCCCATTGCTAGAACCCATAAACGTTACTTTATATGGCAAACGAGGACTTTGCAGATTTGATCAAGTGAAGCACCCTGAGCCGGGGAGATTATCCAGATGCAGGAGATCTGACACAGGGAAGAGAAGGCCATGTGACTGTGGAGGCGGGGACTAGAGGAAGGCGACCACAAGCCAAGGGATGCTGGCAGCCATGGAGCCATGAAGACAAAACCAGATTCTCCTCTAGCTCCTCCCCGCCCCCCAGGAAGCATGTGTCTGCTGACACCTGATGGCAGCCTGTGCTCCTGACTGCACACTTCTGACCTCCAGCTTGTGGGAGAGAAGTTTCTGTTGTTTTAAGCCACAAGTTTACGGTAATTTTTTATAGCAGCCACAGGGAACAAATACACCAGGTTTTACTCGTCTTAATCAAAACTTGTCTTCTTGGCAGCCTGTTTATGGGACGTGCAAGAGGAACAAAATCCAGTTATATCAATTCAGCCAAAACTCCTCAGTGATCACTTCTGGATGGTTGCTCAAATGAACACAGAGCAAAAGCTGTAATTATCAGCTCCCAAAGAAAGCCAGTTGCCTAGAACCGTGGTCAGCAAACTGTGGCTCGCGAGCCACATGTGGCTCTTTGGCCCCTTGAGTGTGGCTCTTCCACAAAATACCACGTGCGGGCGCACACGTACAGTGCGATTGAAACTTTGTGGCTCATGCGCAGAAGTAGGTATTTTGTGGAAGAGCGGTACTTTGTGGAAGAGCCACACTCAAGGGGCCAAAGAGCTGCATGTGGCTCGCGAGCTGCGGTTTGCCGAGCCGCAGTTTGCCGACCACTGGCCTAGAATAATCAAAGCCTATTATGGACACCATTCACAGCATCTGTAACATACTTCTAAGTGATGTTAACATAAAAAATAAAAGGGAAAGCAATACCTTCATCTATCCTGCAATCTCCCTAAAAGTATTCTTTCTCCCTCAGTGGTTATAGTTACACTTCCCCTAGTTCATATATATATTGATTTCAGAGAGGGAGAGAGAGTTAGGAACATCAATGATGAGAGATAATCATTGATCGGCTGCCTCCTGCATGTCTCCCACTGAGGATTGAGCCTGCAACTCAGGCATATGCCCTACCTAGGAATCAAACCATGATCTCCTGGTTCATAGGTCGATGCTCAACCACTGAGCACACCAGCCAAGCTCCCCTAGTTCCTTTAAAAGTCCAAAAGTAAAAGTTGAACTATGATCCAATGGGGCCATGTGAGAGACTGCTATAGAATTAGCTCCAGCATTCATGCCCAAACAATCCTGGGGGCTCTGGTCCCAGTTTTCCTTCCTTCAACACAACCACACTGAGCTGAGCGGTGTAAACATGACCTCAGGGAATCAGAATCTGCATTTAACAAGATCCCCAGTTGATTTGAGCACTTCAAAGCTTGAGAAGCACCGCTCAGGCCACAGCTGGAGGCCACCATTTGGCGTTGGACAGCTGATGGCGACCTGATGGGCAAGTCCCAGGTAGTAATGGCCACCCTGGAATGACAGCAAGAGAGCCAAGGTGGGGACTTCCAGGCTGTGCTAAGTGGGATGGATTGAAAGGCTCCCCGCAGCGAGGCGGCTTGTGAGCCCTGCTTGTTCCAATTCTGTACAGGGTGTTCACGGCGCTGTCCCCTTCCATAACGCAATGACCACGTGCCTGCATGTCTCTCCAGGAGTCTAAACGCAGACTAATATTTAATCAGCGTCGCCTAATTTCTACATAGTCTTCCTTCCCAGTTTCGCTTAGATTTTGATGCGTATGGTTCAAATCACTTGAAATGACTGTTGTGGAGAGGCTACGCACTTAGAGCCTTTTTCAGGCTCACAGGCTGGGAGAGCACAGCTGGCCAGCAAGCACTAGGAGACGACACCTGTGGAGGGGCGTCCATGGGCTCATTTGCCCAATTTCGGTCAATTTAAGAAATTACTGCGGCTTTTTCAGGGAGAGTGAAGCTTTCTTAGCAATGAGATAAAAATATGAAAATAGCCCTAGCTAGTTTGGCTCAGTGGATAGAGTGTTGGCCTGCGGACTGAAGGGTTCCGAGTTCGATTCCGGCCAAGGGCACATGCCCGGGTTGTGGGCTCAATCCCCAGTTTGGGGTGTGCAGGAAGCGCCAATCAATGATTCTCTCTCATCACTGATGTTTCTCTCTCTTTCCCTCCCTCTCCCTTCCTCTGTGACATCAATAAAAATATATCTTAAAAAATATGAAAATACCATACAACCCTGCAAACCCCACAAACACTGGTCTATTAGAGCCACTTAACAAGAAGAGGCTTCCATGCAAAATAACGCCTTTCGTCGAGTAGGAGAGCCTGGTTTTAGGTGCCTTGCCTATGTTTGCTGACTTCCTTCCAGTGGCCACCTGTGACCTGTAGGTACAGAACTTGTCTCCATTTTACAGAAGAGGAAACTGAGGCACGGCAAGATTCAGGGAGCAGCCCAAAGCTTCGCCCTGTAGGTGGTGGAGCTGAAGTTTGAACTGTCTGGTTCCAGTGCCCACCGCTCTTTGTTGCTCTGCTCTCATTTTGGCGGAAACCAGGTTAAGATCGGGAACATTCTCACCACCCAGAGGAGGAGGGTGAAGGAGGAGATGGCGAGGAGGATCCCTGCCCGCACTGCCAGTGGTTCCAGCCTTCAGGCTGGTAAGGGAGAAAGGGAACCCCCTTTCCCTCACCTGACTGGGAAGAGGAGGCCTTCCTCCCCCCAAGAGCTGCAGCCCCAAGAGAACATCAAGAGGGCGCACACCTCTCTGCCCCATCTCCGCCCACTCATTTGCCTTCTGCTCACTTGGGCCCCTACACACACTCGGGTACTTGCAGCCCTGGGCTAGCCCTGGAGCCCAGCTCCCCAGCAAACACGGGAAATTAAACAGTTTGCACAGAATGAAATGTGGCCATGAAAGGTGCCTGCAGCTGGTGGTTAACACCAGCAGTAAGAGGATCAACGCTAGTCCGCTGGCTTAAAGGGGGCAGGGGTGAGAAGTGTGCGCGCTCCCTTTTACCCATTCACGTTAGTTAATTTGGATGATAAGGGTTCGAGTTTAATCCCTTTGTGTGTGAGTGAATATACTGAAATTGACAACCCCTGAGAGGGCACCCCCGCTGGCAGAGCAACCTGTGGGAGGGTGCGGGCTGTGTCCAGTCTGGCATGAAGTAGAACAGAAACCTCTTGAGAAGACAGAAAGCCAGATGGAGAGGGACCTAGGGGTGCAGACTGAGCTCAGCACCTCCCAGGCGGGAGGCAGGTAGGCTGCTGGCTGTCCCAGCGCCCCACACAGCACAGGGTGGCCTCTGCGCCCTAGGAGCTCCCTAGCTCCCACAGGAGAGCAGGGCTCCCCACAGCCACCTCTGCAAAGAACTAACCACGCTCAAGGGGAGAGCCTGGGGCCTTGCCATCGTCAGCAGAGTAGAAAGAATTGAAGGGGAGGTGGAGAGCAGAAAGGAGGGGAAAATGTCTCAGGGGACATCTGGTTTCTCAAATGGAACCGATTAGGAAAAGGCGAGAGCTCCGTGATTCCAAGTCAGGTCATGAAACAAAAGCCATTTTCATAGTTTCCATCTGCAAGAAAGCTCCCCCCAACCCCCCCCCCCCCCACACACACACACACTGCAAGCTTGGAGCCCCCAGAGTGCGGCTCCAAGGCAGCAGACTGCGAGCGAGCCCTGCTGGTGCCGGAGGAGCCCGGCCCCTGGCGGATGGTCCAGGCGGCGGAGAGACGCAGCCAGCGGAGATCCCTCCCCCTCCTTCCCCGTGGGCCCTCCAGCAAACGTCCTCCCTGGTTTCTGTTGGTGCCTTCCCTCCCTCCACCCCCCCATATATTCGCTCTCTAAAACCATAAAAAAGAGATCAACTTCCCTAACTTCACGGAGCCCTTTTCAGTGACAAATATTGATGCCCAAAGTGTCTGCGCTCTCCGGCCCTCAAACGTTAAGAAAAGGCGACCGCGAAAGGGGGACATAAAAAGGTAACAATGCAGTGAAAATATGTTTGCAGAAAATAGACAATCGTTGGATTAAACGTATTCAAGTATGAAATAATGCCTTTTTGTGTCAAAACTTGGGCGATGGGCGGGTACAAAAGTTCCCTGTGGCAGCTACTTGCTCCCTTTGTGAGCCGTGCGCTTTGGCGTCTCCACTTAGGCGCATTACTCAGAGCCCTCTAAGCGCGATTGTTTCTCCCTTTCTAATGACATTTACCGGATCAAAACATGCTGTTAATTCGATCAGAAGGCTTCACCCTCCCTGACAAAGCCACAATAATTTCTCCTGAAGTTTGTTAAATTGACCAAAATTAGGCAAATGAATAGGGATCTGCAGGCGCCCCCTCTCGCAGGTGACGTTGCATAATGCTCGCCTGGGCCAGCTGCATGCCCCCTTTTCTTCTCGGCCCACTCTTCTCTGTGTTGCCCCCCAATCCTCCCACCACCCCCCTCCCACCACACACACAAGCCTGCCTGCCTGCCTCTCCTCCCCCACCCTCTGGCATGATTAAAATTTAGCCCAATGAAACTATTCATACTTTTCAATGGGCATTTTCGTATAGGCTAAGAGGCTACAAATTGAGCCTCTTCCCCTCCCCCGTCCCCCTACCCCCGCGAAGAGGGGCCGAGGGGGGAGAAAAGAAAGCGAGCGACGTGGTCAGGGAGAAGGGGGAGCGTCGCGTGCCAAAGGCGGGCGGGAGGGGCGGCGCAGCGCGGGAGCCTCGTGTGCCAGCCGCAGCCCACACCTGCCGGGATGTCCGGACAAATGAAGCGGTGTCGACAAAAAGGGGGAGATGGACGTGTCACCAAGTCGTGTGAGAAAAGCCTGGGAACAAACGGGGCGCCTCCGTCTCCAAGGGCTCTCCCTTGAACCCAGCGGAACAGCCTATTAAAGGCTTACTTAATTACTTTAATGGCTCTGGACAGGCTTTAAAGCGCACTGGGCGCTGGGACTGCGCCCTTGCTGGGATTTGTAAACAGGCAATCGTGTGAGACTCGGCGGTGGGACTAAAGGAGGCGACACTGTTTTGTGAGGGTCCTCACCCCCCGGTGCCCGCGGCCGCTGCGCCCCTGCGCTCTGCGCCTGTGGCTACGGGCGCTCGCTCGCTAGACACCGGCCCCAGCTACCGCCTCCTTTTCCTGCCCGGGCTGTTGCCATGCAAATGTTATTCCCCGCCAATCACGTGTCCTTTGAAGGGCCACGTGGATTAACAAAGCTCATCTACCCCCAGCTTGCCCCCCTCGGCTGCTAATTTTTTTTCCCTTAACTTCTTTAAAACTGATCTTGAATGCATACATCCCTCAAACGCAGCTCCCTAATCCTATGGAATAATTCAACTCGTGAATGCACTTGGAGCCCTGGGTGACTGCTTTATAAGGCAGCCCCTCGGCGCTGGGAGGCGGCAGTCTACCTGGGACCCTGAAAGGGCGCACGAGGCGGAGATCCGACGGGTGGACGGCGCTGCGCCCCCGCCTCTCCAGGGCGCGCTCTCACCAGGATGTCAGACAAGCTCAAGGAACGCAGAGTGAGTCGCTGGGGCTGGACGGCTCTTGCGCTCTGATGGTGGGGCACTGACCCCCCAGCGGCCACCTGGCTGGGCCGAGGGCAGGGACGTGACCACGCGTGACTTCTCCTGTAAAGCAGTTCTGAGTGGTTTGGGAAGGGGAGGAGGATGGAGGAAGGAGACTCCTGAACCTGCGAGGAGCCCAGGCCTAGTGGCCACCTCCCCACAGCCTTGGCCCTCAGCTCGGGGTGTAGCCCAGCGAGTAGGGAGGCTGGACTGGAGCGCGCCAACACGGTGAAGGAGGGCAGAGCTCGTTTTATCCACGTGTGGAGAGGAAGGGCCCCCTTCGGGGGCGAGCTCCTGGGCAGCACTGGGAGCTGGGAAGCCGGTGGGCGGGGGGATTTCCATGGGGATTTCCACTCCCTGGGTAAAGCCATCGGAAATTCACAAACTTCTGTTCGCAGAGAACCCGCGTTTCCCATAAAGTGATAGAAAAGCGGCGGAGAGACCGGATTAACCGCTGTTTGAACGAGCTGGGCAAGACGGTGCCCATGGCCCTGGCGAAGCAGGTAACGTATGGCAGTGAGAACAGGGAACTAGATGCCGGGGACCCTCTGCTGCCACCCTCGGCCTAGATGCCGGGGTCTGGGGACAGAGAGGGCCCGCATGGGAGCCTCCTTCCCCGCCCGAGCGCCGAGTCCAGGCACCGTGCGCGGCGCACAGCAGCCGCTCGCTAGTCCTCTGCAGATCGCACCGCGCACCGGCCCGAGGCTGGCCTGCGCCTGCGCGCGCTGAGGCCCCTTCTCCCGCTGCAGACCTCCGGGAAGCTGGAGAAGGCGGAGATCCTCGAGATGACCGTCCAGTACCTGCGGGCGCTGCACTCGGCTGACTTTCCACGGGGAAGGGAAAAAGGTGCGCACGGGCTGGGCCAGGCGAAACCCGGCCGGGAGCGTGCGCCACACAGACCTGGGGGTGGCGGTAGGAGGAAGGCGCGCAGGAGAGGTCTCCTCTCCCGACCGACCCTGCGGAGCGGGCGCGGTGGGTCCTGCAAAGGCTAGCGAACGGGGCTGGGGGGGGGGGGGGGGGGGGGGGGTTCTGGGCTGGTTGGTTCCGTTGCCTCCTCTCAGGTGGGGAGGGGCAGAGTCAGCCGCTTAAGAGAAAGCAGGCCTCTGACTTGTTCTTTTCCCTCTCCAGGCTGGGGAGAGGGGAGGCGGACCTCCAGTGGGAACTCTGGCCAGAAAGTGTGGTGGGAGGTGCCTGCATCCGCCTGGGGCTCCCGGCAGGGAAGGGGCCGCTCAGTTTCTTTCCTGTCTATGACCTTCCCGCCCTCCAGCAGAACTGTTAGCAGAGTTTGCCAACTACTTTCACTACGGCTACCACGAGTGCATGAAGAACCTGGTGCATTACCTCACCACCGTGGAGCGCATGGAGACCAAGGACACCAAGTACGCGCGCATCCTCGCCTTCCTGCAGTCCAAGGCCCGCCTGGGCGCCGAGCCCGCCTTCCCGCCGCTGGGGTCGCTCTCGGAGCCGGATTTCTCCTATCAGCTGCACCCAGCGGGGCCCGAGTTCGGGGGCCACAGCCCCGGGGAGGCGTCCGTGTTCCCGCAGGGTGCAGCCCCCGGGCCCTTCCCCTGGCCGCCCGGCGCGGCCCGCAGCCCGGGGCTGCCCTACCTGCCCAGCGCGCCCGTGGCGCTCCCCAGCCCCACGCAGCAGCACAGCCCCTTCCTAGCGCCGGTGCAGGGCCTGGATCGACACTACCTCAACCTGATCGGCCACGCCCACCCCAACGGCCTCAACCTGCACCCGCCCCAGCACCCCCAAGTTCTCTGACACCTGCCGCCCGCCCGCTTTCTCTGGGCACGGGCGCTGCGCTGCTTAGGAGATACTGCGTGTTGTACAGGTGTATATAGCGTGCCGACCAACAGCGGATGGGGAAGGCCAAGAGCAAAGCAAGTCTTCTGAAGGGTCTCCTCCGGCAATAAATGTGTTCTGTTAAAGACCCAAAGAGATGGCTTTCTTTATCTTCTGCTCCTCCACAATCCATCCCTCGGATGTGCCCAGCCAGGGCCAGGGGCTCACAGGGGCTAAGGTGATGGCCCTCAGTAATTTGGGGAGCTTCCCCCCACCCCTGTGCAGTGTGAGGGGGCGGAGGGGGGAGCTAAGTGGAGGTGTCCTTGGGACTGGATTTTGAGGCTTCCCTGAGGCTGCAGACCCGCTCCGCCCCACATGCATCTTGGGCATTTGCTCAGGGGAAGGGCAGACGTGAGTAACGGGGCTATTGGCTCTCAGATAATTCAGGTCCAAGGACTCGCCCCAAACTGGCTTTGACGGACTTGCCCAGCTCAGACCGGCCGCCCTTCCTGCCCCACAACAAGGCCCAGGGATGTAGGCGCCCGCTGGTCTGGAGAGTGGTGACACTCAGGCCGCTGAGTGGGCAACAAAATTTACAGCCTTAACACGTCTCTAAGTGCATATAACTTCTGAGGTATGGCTTAAAAACAACATCCAAGGAAGGTTTTTTGTTTCGTTGTGTTTTAACCCCTGCTCCGGAGGGTTTAGAGAAGCTGGCATTGCCTTTTACGCACAGATGGGCTCAGCTTCCAGGGGACTAGGAATCAGGGTGAGAGGCCAGCACAGCTGGGCTAGGAAATGAGCTATCCAGGGACTGTTTCCTCCGCATACCCCACAATGAGGATCCCCACTCTGTGCCACTGGCTTGGGGTTCAGGTTCTCAGGCCTGGAAGCAAAGGCTTCCCCTCTTCCCCATCCCAGGGGGTGGGCAAGGAGGGGGCTAGACTGTCTAGGGGAGACTTGGCTAGTATCTTTAAGGGATTATGATTTTCAATTCCAGTTGGATCTGCACCTTACCCATAAAACAGGGATACATTTAAAATAGCGAGCTAAGGTCATGTTTTTCTAAGACCTAAACAGCAAAGTAAGCCTGGCTGTTGTCTTATATAAACAGACAGAATTCAATAAGGTGCCCAATCAGCTAAAGTTGTGTTTATGGGGATTTAAATGTTTCCCTTTATTGACCCTTTTCTTTGTTCCATCTTTCCTTTTTGTTCCTGTTGGCTTTGATGCAATTACATAAAGAATTTGAAATTATGTAGCAGGTTCTGTTTCCAGGGGCCATTTAGCTCAACTGTGATGGTCTGTCTGCTCCCAGATTAGCTGGGGGACAATGATTAGCTTACTCCGTTTCTGTGGACAGGGTTTAAGAGAGCTCTGACCTGTGCTGTTTACTGAGGTCATGGAATAGGATGACCTGCAATTTGTAAACCATCAAACTTGATTATACAGAGACAGGACAAAACAAATTGCCTCATTCCATTCCACTGCCCATACACTGAAACTTAAATGCGTATGTGTTTGTTGTTGTTTTTTTTTGGGGGGGGGGGGAGGGAAATTATAAACTTTAGAAAAGGCCTTATAAGTGGTTCTTGTCCTGACATGCACTACATGTTGCTGCAGTACTTATCTAAAAACTGTGATGTGCAAACAAATATCTCCTCCTTTATGAACTGACATAGTTGGAGCATGAAAGTGAGTGTAAGGCCAGGAGGCCCTCTGGATAACAAATATACACTGAGCAATATGGGACGGAAACAAACCAAGCAAAAGGGGAGCCTGCATGGCGCCTATTATTGGAACACATGTCTTACACCCATTTTCCTCAGTGCGGGGTACAGAATCTGAGGAAGGCCTTTCAGGCTTTTCTCCTCCGAGCACTAAGCCCATCTGAATTCCCCTGGCAGTGAAGCATTACAGATATAGTGTTACCCTGGAAATATAAATTATTAATATATTCAGCATTTTTGTCACTTCTCAACTGTTAACCAAATTAGACAAAACTTTCTTTTGCTAAGTAGATTTTCTCTCTGGGATTAGCTCTGGAAATGCACAGGGCCACCACAGTAAGAAACTTTGGTCATTTACATATAATTCTGCAAACTTCCACTGGCCCATGACAGTCTTTGTACCTCGAATGTTGGTATTCTTGATTTTTTTCTTTCTCATTTAACTGTGGAGGATAAAACCCTGCTTTGGATTTACAATGACTTTAGGATAAAAGTCTCCCTCCCCTTCCTTCCCCCTTTCTGTGTATGTGTGTGTGTGTGTGTGTGTGTGTGTGTGTGTGTGTGTGTGTGTGTTGTCCTTTTCTGAAACCTTCATCCAAAGTTCCAGTTCTCTAGGCTTGCCTAAAAATCAAACTTGGAGTAGTTTGACTTTGCAAGAGGTTAAAAATGTCACTACAAAATGGCCTTGATTCAAATCGGAGTGAAACTTTAATGTGTCCTTCCTGTACTTTCTCGGACAACACATTACTTCCAGCCTGGCTGTCCCAAGCCCCCCAGCTCCTCCCCCCTCCGCCTGAGTCTCTTAGGCCCAATCCCTCCACTCTTTCTTTTAAGTGAGTTGTATAGTAATGGTTTCCAAGAGAGGCTCAACCAAACCTAGGAATAACAAAAAACAGTGGGTTTGGCTGGAGGTGACCCATTGTGACGCCTCTGAAAGGAGCAACCTCTTGTTTCTTGGGCTTCATCCTTGAGTGGGCAAGAAGAAAAATAATCATCCCATGAAATCAAAGGTTTTCTCCAGGGGCTTGAGGAACAAAGCTGATGGCTGTGCTCTGGGTGTGTCCTGTGGCTCTGCAGGGCGAGAAGTAGGCACTTCCAGGCACTCCGGCCACAGGCCGAAAGGGCGGTAATACAGAGCTCACTTGTGCTTCCAAGCGTATTGAACAAACACAGCGCGCATATCGCTGGGGCCTCCTGTCTAGGCTGCGAGATGCCAGGCAAGGAAGGTGGAGGAGCAGCTATGTAAGTGCCTACCTGACTCCCCACAAGTATGGATCCCCAGAAACCTGGGGATGGATATCTGCGCAGAGTAACACACCAAGAAACGGAAGGCAACAGGGGCATGCAGTTAGGAGCCCAATAAATATGCTTGTGGAACGAATGGTGCTGGGCTTCTTAGAATCCCGCATCTCCCCTAGACCTCTTGTTTCTGGCCTCTGTTCCCTCCCGACTTCAGCAGAGACTAGAAAGTACTCGTGCAGCCACCTTGTCATCTGTTGAATAATGTGCACATTCTGAGGAGTTGTCAGCGGGAGCAGTGACCCTGCTTCTCCCTGCAACATCCACCTGTGTTCTGAGCAGGAGACGATGCTTGGCCTGCATGGTTAAGGTGCAGGCCCACCGAAATGTAGACCCCAACTGTAGGATGTGAATTCAGAACTAGCCTGAGGGGGGCTCTGATCCTTTCACATGGGAAAGATCCAAGACTGGGCTGATTCCACCCTCTTTTCCACCACCCTAGTTGTTCAGACTGTGGCTTCTGCAGCCAGAATGCCTGGATTTGTACCAGCTCGGTTGTGTACTAGCTGTGTGCCGTTGCTGAGGCAAATTGCTGAGCCTCTTCACGTCTGTTTCAACATCTATAAAATGGAGCTATTAAAAGCACATTTACCTGATAAGGTTGCTACGAGGATTAAGTGAACTGGTACATTCAAAGCACTCTAGACAGTGCTTGAGCCGCAGTGAATGTTCAATACATGTGAGCTATTATAATTACCTATTCCTTCCTCCCTTCTCCCAAAGAGTCAGATCCTTGGAGCCACCTCAAACTAAAAATCAAAATTCAAAGGCAGATCATGAAAAAATTTTAAACCTCAGGGCTTGTTCTTACACCCCAAGGCTTGTTCTGGGGTGTCAGTATTCCTCCTTTAGGGCAAGTGGGGGTTAGGAACTCTAACTTCTTCCCCCGGTCAATTCATCCTCCAAGTGATGGCTGGTAGTCAGAGCCCTCTGTTACTGTGGAAGGCTATCTCTCCGTTCTTTCCCATACAGGAACCTGGACGCATGTTATCTGGCAGTAGCTCACATACCTGCACTCCTACATTCTCTCTCCAATGCCTATTCACACACAAATCTTGGCCATCGCAAATTCTGTACTGAAACATGGAGTAAATAAACTAATTCAGTATTTACTAATGGTACTTCCTTTGGCAGCTTCGGCTTCATGCTCTTCTCAGCTTTCTCCCAACTTCCCCCCACTCGGGTCCTTTTATCTGTTCCATTCATCAGCTGGCTGCTCTGCTCAGGGCTCCAGACCCAAGCCTTGGTGTAGGTCCGTGGTCGGCAAACCACGGCTCGTGAGCCACATGCGGCTCTTTGGCCCCTTGAGTGTGGCTCTTCCACAAAATACCACATGCGGGCGCCCACGTACAGTGCGATGGAAACTTCATGGCCCATGTGCAGAAGTCGGTATTTTGTGGAAGAGCTGGTATTTTGTGGAAGAGCCACACTCAAGAGGTCAAAGAGCCGCATGTGGCTCGCGAGCCGCAGTTTGCCGAGTCGCAGTTTGCCGACCACTGGTGTAGGTGAAACTCAGCTGCAGACGTCCAACTCCGGAGCCTGTTCCCTAAGTCTCACCCCCTTTCCACTTGGCCTTCAGCTCTGATTCTAACTCATTTTCTGATTGCTCGGCTCCAGACATCTGATCCCCCATGTACCTGGGGCCTGGTGTAGGGATTTATCCATGTAAATGTATGTGTCCCAGGTGGACAGAGATCACTGCAGCAATAACTCTTAGCATCTCTCAGCAGCCCTCCTCTATCCCTCAGCTACCTGATTGGGGTGTTTAGAAGGCAGACCAGGCAAGCTTACCTCTGCCCCTTCCTCTCTGGGTGTGAACCTGCCCACAGGAAGCAAGCAAGAGTTCTCTCTGGGCTGTTGCGGAGATTTCCAGCTTCCTGTGCTTTTTACGGGTGAGTTTAATCTGACATGAAATGTTGCAATCTCACTCTCTCTGCAGATTGAAGTCACAGCCCCCAAACAGTCACAAAATAGACATTTTTATCTCCATCTGACACCTACATCTCTAATGATTCTAGGCACTGACAGGAGAAAAAATGACTTTATTTATCAAATACCCTAAAACCCCAGGACCTGGGTGCCTACATATGTGCAGCTAGGAGGAAGAC